TCTTGGGTTGATTCTATTTGGGGTCTTTTGTATTTCTTGGGACTGAATCTTTGAGTGCCTCTCTAGGTTTGGAAAGTTTTCTTGCAGGCTCTCATGGAATAGATTATCAATGCCCTTATGAATCTCTTCGCCTTCTGGGATGCCTATTATCTGGATGTTTGAATGTTTGATGGTATCTAGTATATCTCGTATATTAGTCTCAAATTCTTGGGCCATTTTCTCAGTCTTCGAGGTGGATTTTTCTAGGCTAGCAATTTTCTCTTCTACATCTGAGATTCTACTTTCTGTATGATCTCGTCTGCTTTTAATACTTTCAAGGGAGATTTTGACTTCCTGTATTACAGCCTTCATCTCTAACAGTTCCATCTGATTCTTTTGTAAAGTGTGAAATTTGTCTTTTAGATCTTGCATGAATTTCCTCACCTCCTGGAACTCAACAACTTCTTTCTCCTTCCTCTTCAGCAGTTCATTGTCTCTCTTCTCTTCCATCTCTGCTAGTTTTGCCATTATGAATGTTCTGAATTCTTTATCAGACATTTCCATGAATTCCCTTGAACTGTTTGTGGATGAAGACGAGTTATCCTTTTCCCTTGGAGGAAAGGGATTTTCCTGCTTTCCAGTATTTCCTGTGGTCCTGCAGTGATTTCTAGTCATCTGGTTGATCATCAGTTTCTTCCCAAACTTGGAAGTTCAATCATGCGAGTTTTGTCTGTTGGAGGCTGAATTATCAGTGGGAAGTCTTGATTTCTGTTTGCCCAAAGTGGCTAGTTTGCAGAATCCATGAGGCTGTGTCTTCAAGAAGACCTGTTTGATAATTACAAATATTTGTATAATAATTTAGCAAATAGTAGACATTTATGTAATCTAGTTTCATATGCATCCAGTACCTTTTTGAGAAGACCTTATATTTTATCCAAATTAGTACTTGATTGCTTTCCTTAGTGCCTTTGTGTTTGTTAAACACATAAGCTCTCAAGCCAGACTGCCTTGGTTTGAAAATTTACTCCCCTCTATCCCCTACTTACTAGCTCTGTATAACTCTTTGCTTTTTACTTAGCTGATAGGTCTCTCAGTCCAATCTCTTCATAAATGAATTACACCATGTACTGAAAAAATCAACATGGCACTGGTAAGATCTCCATAAACCTTTATTTATTTTAAAGACATGTGTGTTATATTGAATTTTCACCTAGTGTCATTTCTCTTTTTTTCCAGATTAATTTCACATTTTACATAAAGTATCCATCATGATGTATACAACATATATTTTTTTCTACAGAGAGCTTAACATTTTTTATATATTAAATGTTTCTTTTGCATCACACTCCCATCCACTACCACCCATTGTCATCCACTCCTCCCCCTTACAGTATCTGAAATATACACTATCCTCTATACTATCACATCTTTATATCTTTTCATTTCTGCCAGAAAGTGCAGACATTTGGTATAAATTGAGTGGAAATATACAGTGTACATCATCCAAATTCTGGCTCATTTCACTCAACATTGTCTTCTATATTCATCCATTTTGAAATACAGTCTCATTGATTTTTATATCTGAATAATAGTCCACAGTATATAGGTAGAATAGTTTTTCAATCAAGTTTTCTATCATTTTTTGAACATTTTGGTTAGTTTCACATTTTAGCAATGCTGCAATAATGAATGTGCAAATGTCTTTCCAACTAAATGTTTTCCTAAACCTTCAAGTAATTATCAAGGAGTGGGATTATTGGATCATATTGCAGTTCTATGTGTATGTTTTCAAAGAAAGTTGTTTTCCACACACAGAGGTGTACTAATTTACATTC